CAGGCTCATGTGCGTGCGTGCCCAAGATCCCGAGAGGAGAATGGAGGAGAAGGGATTGCGGCGTGGCCATCCCCCCTGGGGAGTGATTTCTCACTTTCTGTCTCTCTGTCTCTCTCTGTTGTTCCGGAGAGCGCACGCACCCTATAGCAAAAACCTCTCAAAAAAAACCACAATAAATTAAATAATTAAATAAATAAATAAGGTCCTGAACTCCCACAAGACTGACTGCAGTTCAAATCCCAGATCTGGAGGCTTGTTTTCTCACTTTCCATCTTTCTCTGATCAAATTGGAAAATAGTAATAATAATAATGAAGTTAGATAAAATGATATAGCAAAAACCTCTCAAAAAAAACCACAATAAATTAAATAATTAAATAAATAAATAAGGTCCTGAACTCCCACAAGACTGACTGCAGTTCAAATCCCAGATCTGGAGGCTTGTTTTCTCACTTTCCATCTTTCTCTGATCAAATTGGAAAATAGTAATAATAATAATGAAGTTAGATAAAATTATTTTTAAGAGAGAGAGAGAGAGAGAGAAAAGGGCCCTCCTGAGCCAGAGCTCCCATCGGCTGGCCGAAACCCATGATGGTCAGAGCCAGCATTACCATGAAGAAATCATTACCGCCGAACAGACAGACAGATGGACAGGGGCAGGACGCACCTGTGGTGTCCACCTGGGGCAGGAGGCGCAGGAAGATGGGCCGGGCGTAGGGTGCCAGCACCTTCTGCAGCTCCTGGTACATGGCGTCGGGGTTCAGCTGGCTGTGGGGGTCAGCGATGGCCGCCATGCCCGCTTTCCCCTCCACTCCTGCAGAGAGACGCTCAGTTAGAACCCCGGCCCTTCCTCCATGGCGGGGCACCACGTGCCCATGAACCGCTGTCCTTCATCCCAGGTCTCCGGCTCCTCCTACTCTGCCTGCAGCCCTGAATCAGGACTTTTTCTTGTCTTTTTTAATCTTTTTTTTTTGGAGAGATTTTTGCTATAGGGCGCGTGCGCTCGCCAGAAAGACAGAGAGACAGAGAGACAGAAAGCGAGAAATCACCCCCCAGGGGGTATGGCCACGCCGCAATCCCTTCTCCTCCATTCTCCTCTCGGGATCTTGGGCACGCACGCACACGTGCCCGGCGTGAGTTTTAGCCACCGGGTCCGGGACTCGAACCGCGGTCGACTACGTGGGAGTCCAGCGACATAGCCATTACGCCAACTGCTGGTCCCATTGAACCGCATTTTCTAGATGGCAGCACCCAGGCTCAACCTCATGCACCTGCCGGGTGTCCAGACCCAGCGCTCCCATCTGGCCTCCCTTGTACAGTTGTCCGGGCTGTGCACAGCCCAAGGGTATTTAAATCTCCAAGCCCCTTCTGCCTGGGCTCTGCTGGGTACCCCAAGACCACCCCCTGAGCCCCCCAGCTTGCCTGGCACGGCCACCCCATAGACGGCCACGTCTGTCTGACCCAGCAGGCGGCTCAGCACGCCCTCCACCTCGGTGGTGGAGACGTTCTCCCCGCGCCAGCGAAAGGTGTCGCCGCTGCGGTCCCGGAAGTACATGTAACCGAGGTCATCCATGACCAGCACGTCACCTGGCGGAGGGGAGAGGGGGCGGTGGGACGGCGGCTCCCACCCGTGCAGCCCGCCCCGGGGGTCTGGTGGGCCTTGCACCTGACAGGTAGGCGCTGTCGCCCTTGCGGAAGACGCTGTGCGCGATCTTCTTGCTGGTGGCATTCTCGTTGACGTAGCCGTCGAAGCGGCGCAGCGGGTCTTGCTGGTTGATCTGACCCACGAGGAGGCCCGGCTCCCCTGGGGAGGGGTGGGGGGCAGAGGCTGAGCTGGGCCGGGGCCCCCCTGATCTTTCCCGCTCTGCGGGGTAAGGGGGACCCTGCTTTGTTTTTTTGTTTTTGTTTGTCTTTGTTTTTTGGAGAGTTTTTTGCTCTAGGGCACGTGCCTTCGCCAGACAGAGAGATAGAAAGCGAGAAATCACCCCCCAGGGGGGATGGCCACGCCGCAATCCCTTCTCCTCCATTCTCCTCTCGGGATCTTGGGCACGCACGCACACGCGCCCGGCGTGAGTTTAAGCCACCGGGTTCGGGACCCGAACCGCGATCAACTACATGGGAGTCCAGCGACATAGCCATTACACTAACTCCTGGTCCCAGGGAGACCCTGCTCACCCGCCTGGCATGGGATGCAGAGGCCCTGGGCGTCCCTAAGCAGCTCCATGGTGTCCTCGTTGACCTTCACTTGGGTTACACTGGAGGCGGGATGCGTCTTTGAAAGCCACAGGAGCCGACCTGGGAGGGGAGGTACAGGTTAGAGGGGGGCAGCGGAGCCTGCACTGCCCCAGGGCAGAGAACCCGGCCCTTAGGGTCCCCTAGGCTCTGTGACCTGGTGGGAGGGATCAGAGTGAGCAAAAGGTAGGGAACCAGCAGTTAGCGTAATGGCTACATCGCTGGACTCCCATGTAGTCGACCGCGGTTCACGTCCCAGACCTGGTGGCTTAAAACTCATGCTGGGTGCGTGTGCGTGCGTGCCCAAGATCCCGAGAGGAGAATGGAGGAGAAGGGATGGCAGTGTGGCCATCTCCCCTGGGGGATGATTTCTCACGTTCTGTCTCTCTGTCTCTTTCTGTCTCTCTGGTGAGTGCACGTGCCCTATAGCAAAAACCTCTCCAAAGGAAAAATAAAAAATTCACTCCAGGCATATGTCCACGTGTGCCCAAAATCCCAAGAGGAGAATGGAGGAGAAGGGGTTGTGGCATGGCCATCTTCCTGGGGGGTGATTTCTCGCTTTCTGTCTCTCTGTCTCTGTCTGTCTCTTTGGTGAGCATGCACACCCTGCAGCAAAAAACCTCTTAAAAATTTTAAAAAGAGAGGGTCAGCAGGTGGCTGGTGAAGGCCCTGAACGCCCACATGGCTGACTGCGGTTCCAGTTCTGCACCTGTTGGCTTGCTTTCTCGCTTTCTCTCTGGTGAGCGCACATGCCCTATAGCAAAAGTGAAAAATAAAGCCAGCCCTGGGTCCCCAGAGCTCTAGTCTCCATGCTGACTCTTACACCCACAGAATCACAGGCACAGAGAGGTTGAGTAAGCTGCCTGGGACACACAGCCATGGCATTTTAAACCCTCTGCCTCACTGAAGGACAGTGACATGACTAACCTTGCATGTGGGAGGAGAGTCCCTGCAGGCCCCACACTGACCCTCTGGCTGAGCGTGAGAGGGGTCCTAGGTATTCCCCCTAAGCCCCGCCCCATTCCCTGGCTGACACTTCTGCACCAATCCAGGCCATTCATTCGACAGGAACACAGCCCTGGGACTAGTCAAGAGGCAGTTCCCAGCCCGTGCCCCGCCCCCTCAGGCGCCCTGTCCCAGCTGGGTCCCGCCCACTTTGGTACCCAGCTCCGCCCCATCCATTGCCCCACCCCCTACGA